TGAGCCATGGGTGCTGGAACAGAAAAACAGGAGGCAGGAAGTGTTCCTGCCTTGTGTTTGCTACCTTGTGTTCTTTGACCCCCATGTTATTGTTGCATGTTATTGATGCACATGCTGAGAGCTTCCGCCTACCCCCAGCCCCAGGCTCCATGCTGAAGGGGATAAATAGGGAAGGAGAGAAGAATAAAGTGTGCCTTTGCTTGCTAACCAAGGAGTGTGTGCTTTAATCCTGACGTCCTTCGCTCAGACCATCTCTGCTGTCGTGCTGGCGCGGCAAATTGTGAAGAGTTTTGTGCATCAGGATGAAAAAGACTGTGGAAATTCACATAGCAGGCTATTTAACAAATCCAAATGCTTAAAGAAATATTACACACAAATGGATAAAGTGAGGTTTCTGAGATTTTTTATTGGGAATACCAAGGGAGAAACAGTCAAAGGGGTATAAGGAATGCTAATGGAGTGCTCACTTCCGTAGCACATATACTAAAATTGGAATGATACAGAGAAGATTAGCATGGCCCCTGCACAAGGAATGGCAATGGAAACAAAAAGAAAGTAAGCAAATACAACCTACACTTACATAAAAATAAAATAATGCAAAAGTATTTAATGAAAGTGAAAACTTGAGGAATAAGGGGGAGGAAGAGACCAAACTACCCATGGAGGAATAATTCAGAATTATGTTTAAAAATATATTCAGTGATCTCTGGAAAATGATAGAATAGCTAGAAAAGTTAAACAACCTCCAAACTTGAGGAATACAGTGCTAGAGCTGTAAAACACATTAGATGCATCCAACAAAAGACTGGAAAAGCAGAAAATAAATAATAAATTGGCTAACAGAGCAATAGAACTTACCCAGGCCAAGTACAATGATGAATGAATAATTTAAAACAAATGAAGATATCACGAAAGAAATTATGAAAAGTCTCAGACATACAAACTGTTAAGACTGACTCTGGAAAGTAGACCATAGATCTGAGACACTAAGGAGAAAGAGAGGGGGGAGTAGAGAATTTGGGGGAATGGGAAGCACAATGGAGTGTGGTATAATGTGGGCACATTGTTGGTGGGAAAACAATGGTGACTACATGTGAGATGAGATATCCTATATTAAGAAATACTAAACAAGGTTTTTAAAAATAAATGACATGTAGTTTGTTTTTAAAAAAAGAAAAATCTGTTGGTTGTCCTTATGCAAACAATGAG